GACTATTTCAGATTTCTCTGACAGGAAAGAGGGAGAAAAGAAAACCTGATAGAAGAAAGTGTAATTGCTATTGTATGGTATTATCTCCATATCCCATAGCAACAAATCTTATTATATTTTTTTCTTATTTAAACCATATTCATGAAGGTTTTATTGTTAACTTGATCCAGATGACTGATCAAAGCATAGTTCATTATTGCCACCTTGCTAAAATATTTTTAAAGGCAGTTTTAATATTACACTTTTATAGCTACATATTGCCATTAAGCTATTGAGTCTATTACTAGTCAATCAAGGATTTTCATTTTGTTTCAAGAGCTCCTTGGATAAACTCTTCAGAAATGTCAAAGAGATGGAGTATATGGCACCTTTTCACAGATGGTGTTCATCAGGGATTTTAGTTAATGGATAAAGTTTCAGTTTTCCACGGTTGACTTTTGGTGCTAACAAAAGTATTCCAAAGGCCCCTGCTCTTCTAAAGGCTAGGGGATAGTAAGGAAATGAATCCCATAACACCACCAAACCTTTTATTCTAAATGAGGTAAATAACCAGGGACATGGAGTATTTCACCAGGTCCATTTTACTAAAGAATGGAATATATCTTGGAGAAAACCAATTCAACTTTTCCAATAGCTCCAAAGATATATGTTTGTTCTCCCACTCTCAAGAATAGCAACCAAAAACAAATATATAATAGGAAGAGCTAAACTATCATGTGAAGAGTTATATACTCAACTGGCTCATAATAGAGGCTTATTGTAGGCTTTTCTCTTTCATCTGTTCCAAACTAGTCTATACCCATTCTATCCATTCCTTCATACATCCATACATTTATTTTACACACACTTACTTACTACTTATGCACCAGACTGTGTGCAGGTGATGAGTGTAAGGGTGTTTCAGACATAGTGCTTCCCTTAAGAGAATTTCAACCTAGTGGTAGAGAAAGCCAAGAAAGCACGAGATTATTTGGCATTCATTGGGATAAGTGTTGTGATGGAAGGGGGCTTGGAGATGGATACAGGAATACAGGACTCTGGGGAAGGCAGTGGAAGAGCTCTTAATCCCTTCTGAGGCAGGCTTAGGGAAGGCGTTTCTGGAGGTAATGGTATTGAAGCTAAAATGGGTATAACTTTGGCAAAGGGATAGAGGATGAAGAGCATGACAGGAATAGAGAATAGCACATCCCAGGGCTGGGACATGGAGCATAAGAGGTGAGATTCAGAGGTGAACAGCAAGCAGTTGCCTCAGAAGAGCTTTGTAAGCTGTGGAGGAGCTAGCGCTCTTTTCCTGAGGGCAGTGGGGAGTCTCTGAGGATCTTGAAGTCAGGGACTAATGGGTCTAATGTCGCTCCAGCTATAGATTATGTTCAGTGGGAGGCAAGAGTGCAGTGGGAGAGCTGTTAGAGGAGTCTTTTGCCCTAGAGAAATAAGGTTGCGCCTGGAAGAAAGAGGAAGTGGAAAATGAAATCTGATTAGAGCTGTCTCAACAGTCATGACATAATATAGTAAAATGAATATAACATAGTTAGCCAAAGGCAAACATGTCAGGTCAGCAGTTTGGTAGACACTGAAAAGGAAATAAAAATGGGCTTCAGTGCACTGCTAAATGAGTCCGTGAGTTCCCAAGTGTAGTGCTGTGGAAAGCTCTCCCTCTCTCTAATTCTGTTTTCGTTTTCCTGGGACTTCAATTATGACTGCCCGGAAGAACTATGGTTTAAGGCTATGTGGCGGCCACCTCACGTATCTGTTGACTGCAGGGATATGAAACGTTGCACACGGCGTCACCTGATCAGTGTGTCTGGAGTTAGTTGAACAAATGCTATCCTTGTTAAAATTTCTACAGTTTTTCTTCTGTCGATCTTCTAAGAATGCTATTCATGGCTTCTTATCCTTCCAGACCATTCTTGGTATGTTAGGAAGCCAATATAATTGGGTGGGAATGAGAATAGGAAATATAGATTTAAAAAAATTGAGAGATCCATTTTCAATTTGACAATTAAGTGGGCAGGATCGGTCAAACTTTTTTATAGAAGGGAAAACTAGCAACCAGCCTGTAAGAAATTGGTCACAGTTTAAGGGATATGTTACAAGCAAGATAAATAAAAGTGGTCTAGAATATCAGGGCAAACTCTCATTATTCATCTCTGTTTCACACTCTTCTCTTCCAGTCCAGACTAATCAAAAGAAGCCTCTTCCGCTCACAATTGCTGTGTGTACATTTCCCCCAGATCTGGTATTCACATGAACAACATGGTTTATTTATATTTCAGCACCAAATTGGAAAGATGACATCATTCATTTACAGTCTTTATCCCATGACATGCCTATTCTCCAACACCTCATTTCAGCAGACACATTTAGGACTTCATATAGCATCTTGTTTAGCTTGTACATTCTTTTATGGGATACAGTTCAAAGGTAGGGAACTTTAGGCTTGTTGCTGGTAAGAAAATAATCTCATAAAATCACAGGAGCTTCCCCAAAGACTAAGGACATTATGATGTTTACAATAGCAGAGTTATTATTTGTTCACTTAGGCTTCATTGTTCATTCTTGAGTGAGCCCCCTTCCTTCCTGACCATAGCAGATCTTACAGCTCCCTTCAGGCTCTCTGAGTTCTATTAGAAGAAACAATTTCAGATTTATTAGTTCATGAGTTCAAAAGTACAGATTCTTGACAATACTGGAGTTTTAGGTGTGAACACTGAATTCAGAATCTTTTGTACAAGGGCAGGCTGAATGAGAGGACTCTCAGTACTTGGTCGGCAACAGCTCCACTGACCTGCTCTTTCTCACAAGATGTGACTTGTCCATTGGGTCTTCTGATGCTATAAATGGACAAGAGAAGGATAAATATGCTATCAGTTGCCAAAGGTTGCCTGGGATTTATTATTTAATTGTTAGATGGATTTTTCTCTCTATTTTTATTGTTTTTATCCATATACATACATGTTTTTTATACCCACTGTGGGGACTTTCAAATATTGTACACATTTCTCAAAGTGGAGTACATCACAAGACATCCTCTGGCAGATAGAATTGGGATATAAAGTGTTTCCAAAACTGAGCAGAACCAAAGCATCTATAGGAAAGCTGTTTCTGCCTAATTAGCTGTTTGCTTTTTCTGCTAGCAGTATGGCAAAGAGAAAGGCTAGAGATTGAGAATCGGAAGACCTAGGAAACCTAGACCATGTTCTATGGTAAGGAGACTCTGAGGGCTGAAATCTCTGCTTTCATGTTCTGGCTGCAAGTGAGGATAGTAATTACTCCTCCCAGGAATGTTTTGAGGATAAGTTAGATTGCACATGAAACTTACTACAAAAATATACTGTATTGGGTCCAGAATTGTTATCAGAGTATTATTTATGTTACAAAATAGAATTCCAACCATTTGGAGGGTCTGCCAGCCTTTGATTTCCAGCTCTCTTGAAGTACTTCTGGCTCACTGTCATCTCAGGTCACCAGTGGGATTGTTATGGCAACTCATGAGATGTTCTCAACTCTCAGTAAACTTCCCTGGCTAAAAACAAATGTGCAGTCACCACTAGGATGGCAGCATCCCTCAAAATTCAGTTCCCTCATGCTTCAGCAACATGCACAGTATATTTACATTTACTTGGCCCCGTTAGATTCTGGGGAGGGGCAGGTGGAAGAAACAAGCTCAATTCGACCAACAGTTGAACAGATAGATCTGAGGTTATGCATGATAAACAGGAGGTGCATGTGCCCTGGCATTAGGGGTGGGATTGGGAAAAAGCTCCTAGAGAAAAAAAATGCTGAATTAGCCAGACACAGAAGGTAGGGGTAAGGGTAGGTGGTTGTGGGAGGTACCACAGGCAGAGAAAACAACATGTATAAGAAGGAGAGGTTATTACTGTAAATGTTGCAAAAATAAAATAAAATAAAATAAAATAAAATAATAGAATTTGATTTTTACTGCAAGCCTATGATGGGCCAGGTCCTGAACTGACACTTGAAGCTTATCATATCCTTTGCTCCTCACAGCAACCCCAGGGAGGGGGGCACTATTACTTCTATTTTGTAGTTGAGAAAATTGAAGTTTACAAATAGTTAACTCTCAAGATCACATAGCCAGCAAAGAGATAGTGCAGGACTTGAATCCAGACAGTCTTCTCTTCATACACACATGTGTAGTCTCTACATTTCCTGGCTTTCTGGGGTAGATATTTTTATCTGTCTTTTTCCCTTGTCTATAGGCACTTTTCTAGATTCTGTGACTGTTTAGGCAATTCATTGCTGGTCCCTTTCTTGCCTTACATAATAAAACAAGGTAATTGTGTGTCCTGGGAATTTAAACCATGACACCTAGCTACCTCATGTGATAAACATAATGGGACATAAATTACAGTAGTTAGCTCTTCTACATCAACTTTGCTCCTTTTGCTCAATTTCCCCAAAGAGCACTATCAGTTAAATTGTCCACAGAGAGTCCTTTCCCTAGAAGCCATCAGAGCAACAAACCTTCTCCATTGCTATTTTTGCATTTGGCAGCTTTTGAGTGGATTCCTCTGCTTTGTCTCGCAAGACCATTACTTGTCTGTAGTTTTGTGTCTCCACCCAGCCCTGTTCCATCATTTTTTTGTCCAGGGCTTCCTTCTCTTGCTTGCTCTAGAGAATAGGATGTGACTATTGGTAGTTTGTGATTGCAAGCTTATTCTGGATCTGTGTGTTCTCTTGATAATGTAAAACAGAGCATCTTCAGGTTTATGTCCATTTTTCCCCCTTATAAATCACATGAAGGGGAAGTACATTTACATCTAATGTAGATCCAAGAACAGGGTAATTTCAAGAATGTGACAAAACCTCTTTTACCAAATGGCATGGTGCATTCTTTATTGAGTTTCAATTTGACTAAAAATGAAAACTTCTGGATTAGGAACCAAAGGAACCCTAGACGTACTGTAATTATGCCCTGAGTCTTTTTGGCTGGTTTTCCAGCTCCTGATAGACTCTACTCTGGTTTTTGTTCTGTGCAGACCCAGAACAGAATGAAGCTGATGGCAGACAACTACGATGAGGACCACCATCATTACCACCACCACCACCACCACCACCACCACCGATCTCCTGGGAGGTCGCAACATTCCAATCACAGGCCTTCTCCCGACCAGGTCAGTTTCATTGCCGCTTACCTCCAGGACCCCTTTTACCCTTTGGATATTTTAAGATAAAATAAATAATCCTCAAGAAATAATAAACAGCATAAAGTGATACGTCCTTTGAACTGAAACTAATAGCTTTGGTATTTATTTCCATCACTCAAGGAGTCTAAATGTTTTCCTTTCTCCTTCCTCTTTAAGGTTTTGTCTGTTCTTGTTTATGTTATGCATTTTCTTTCCTCCCCTCCTTTCTATTTCCATAGATATGAAGTCTGTTGCTGGCTCAGTATCTAATGGTGGGTTACTTTGGAATGTCTCTCTCAGAGTTTTAAGAGAAAGCACTTTGTTTCCATGAGCTTGGCAACCAGAGAAGCCTTGAGTTTCATGAGCACTTTCCTAGAAAATTCCTTAGTGATGCAAATTAATGTGGGGTAAAACAACATGAAGAGAAATCAGTTTTGCTTGCATTTTACCTGGTAAAGTCAAGGGATCTGGTTTATTTGATTTGGACCCTATCTTCTCCCTTGACTAAGTGAAGCAAGTGAAAAGACGGGTTGACAAAAACAAAAATCTCCTGTGGTCTTCAATATTTGCATTTGCCCACCAAATGTAAAAACTAATGACTGTATGGAATTAAAACTCCTGAAAATGAACTTCATGGAAATTATGAAATTAAATGCAAACTAGCAGATTGATATAGTCAGTATTGCAGTATTTCCTCCTTTATTGTACCATGAGCTTCTTGTGTGTGTATGATCCTAGTGTAGCTTATACAATAAATTTCAAGAGGGAAAGGGCCATAGGTAATGGAATATAATCATCTAGATAAGTGTAAATGCCTTTGTTATATATTTCTGGGTATGTGAGGGGGGAGGACTTACTGGAATTACCTATGTGAAGAGAGGTTTATCTGTTTGTTGGAGGAAGAGGTGCTTATTATGCTCCTAAGACCATTTTTCAGATGGCTCCATTTCCTTTGCACCTCATGTCACTAGCATCCCAAAGAAGTTAAGATTACAAGTCTCCAAGATGTTTTACTAGGAGTACAACTCCAGGGGGAGCCATTTATATAGTATGCAACATAAGAAGTGCTCCTGGAGCTTTGCAGTAAAGTAGCTCCAACCAGGAGGCCCTCTGCCTCCAACCCCCAGCTTGGCTCTACCCTTATACTATGAAGCATTTGCCCTCAGAGACCCCAACATTACAGATGTTCATAGAGGACATCTAGATTTCTGAAGTCAAGTTCAGAAAGGCACCAGTTCATGTTATTAGTTCTCAAAAATAGTTCTTAATTTAGCAATCAGCAAAGTAGAGAGAGATACAAATTTCCTGTCATTATCGTGTATGCCTGTGGTTTTGCTTTGATTTCACTTTATTTTTTCATATCTCATCCCTTGCTATCACCACCACCTTGCCTGTACTCACGCACCGTGGTATACCTGGCATCCTGCTAACTAAATATCTTCGTTCTTGTTCTTAATCCCAGCCTTTGGCACACTGACCTTTGTTCCTTGAACTTCTCCTGGGAGGAGTAAATGTGAGACTTTATTGGTGCTAGAAGGCCACCCTGGGCTTTTTTCCCCCAGAGAAATAGGAGCAGAGGGCACTATAGAGGCAGAAAGAAGGATTTGGAGCCAGCGGGTTTGGGCGTCGGGGGATGGTTAGTCACACAAGGACCTGCTGAGATAAGAAACAGGCTTGTTTCATCACAGAGACACATATGCTAATATGTCCTGCTAGAAACTAGACACCAGATCAAAATTATCTGCCTTGTGAATGATATTTCTCACAAAAGCTAATCTCCTGCTACTTTTCCAGAGATCGTTGAACACAAAATAGAGGTCTTGCTGGCTTGGTTGACTGTCTTATGTTTGTCTACCACCACTAGAGGTTGTCATAGGGTGGAAATCATTGCTCGAGGGCAATGCTCTTCCCAGAAGAGTTATTATCCCTTGAGAAGTATCTGGCTAAGATGTGTCATCAGGACCTCTGAAATACCTTTTGTCATTGCTACTGTTAGGAGGATAGTGATGGTCATCCACCTTCACATCCTTCATTTCAGTGACCACTCTAAGCAACCCATGGACATAGAGGTAGATAACCTCATCTTCTTCTACAAATGAGAAATTTAGGCCCTGGGAGGGGTGGTGGCCCTGAGTCCTGCTTCTGGTTATTTGCTCATTCAACTAATACTTGGAGCACATATTCCATGCCAGCTACTATGCTGGCCTTGGGAAAGAACATGATGGACAAGAATCCCTACCTTTAGTGATTTTGCTGTGTAGTCTGAAAACAAAAATTCAGGTCATCTGATGTTTGTTCATTTTTTTTCTGGATTGTGTCAATCAAAACATGACATTGAAAAGGTAGTTACGACTTAACTTGTGGCCCGTGACTTAGGAACTCACTCTGCAGTGAAGTTTAGGAGCCAAAAAAATGGTGCAACTCCAAATAAAAGTAACTTATTTGCCTCTTCCATAATCACAGCCCTGATTCTACGGACTTGACCTATCATTTTTACTACCATTGAACTTTACAAAAATAGACTCTATCTCTACTATGTGAAACTGCTATCTCTTATGCATATATAATTAGCATGATCCCCACATACCCTTGAAAGTGGCATACCCTTGACCAGAAGGATAACTTTGCCATTTTAAATTGGAGTCAGCAAAGCTTTAAGGCTTCATTGATACACTCTTTCAATTAGAGAAAAGAGAGCTGACTAAGAAGACCTGCAAAAGTAGATTGATTCCAGTGATAGAAATGGCAAGATCCTCTGGGCTGGTGAGCTTTTTGAATAGGAGTCACAGGTCTTAGACAACCATACCCTCCGTTAAAAGCACCAACAGCTCATATACCAATATATGGGTTGTTCTAAAACTAAATTCCAGAATGCCATAGTCATCAGAAGGCTGAGAAGTCTTTCCCAGATGATTCTAAACTCTCTATATAATTGTGCACGCATATATACTAATATGTATGGAGTGGAGGTACTTCTCAAGAAAAAGTGACAGCCTTATGGTGACAACATAAGAGTCTGAACAATGAATTGATTTGGATGGGATTTAAACTAAATGTCCACGATGTAACCATGTTAATTGAACTGACTTAAAGGGAAGATGTCTCTTCCAAGGGATTCCTGATTTCTTTCCCATGAATCTTCCAGCCCTAACTTTCCTGTAGCCTGGATATTGACCAGCAATATCTTCTGGAGGAGGAACTACAAAATGTTGCCATTGTCTGTTGAGCTTTATTAAAAGGTCAGAACATGTGAGAATAAAGAAATATAAAAAAAAAAACAGTCACTTTGCTACTTTTCCAGAGAAATTCATTTTTCCTTAGGAAATTCAATTTAAGTATCCTAGGCACTTGCAGAATTAGATTCTTTTTCCATTTCTTGCTTGCCCCTTTCTCCTTCACTAAGATTTTGCTTTCTCCTCAGGAGAAACTGAATCCAAGGGTTGTAAGTCTAGACGAGCATTTCCCAAAGTAACTTTTGAAACATTAGTCCCAGGAGGAAAATCTTGAAAGAAAGATTCAGTGAATAAAGAATTTTGTTAAAGTGCTGCATATTATAAGTCAATCTTAGAGAGTCTTGGTGCAATTAGCAGATCAAAGGATCTAAAAAGTCATATAAGAAAGAAAACTCTCCAATTTTATTTAATCCAGCATTTCCCAAACTAATTTGCTCATAGAGTCTTTTCTTTTCTTTTCTTTCTTTCTTTCTTTTCTTTAATAGTAACATCTGTGCTCTGAGAAATACTGTTCTCAGAGTATCAGGTGAAGAAAGAGACTACCCATTTAAAACATAGCTGCCAACAGTGTTTTTCATCAGAAGGTGGAGTTTTGAGGCAAATACAGCATAGCAAAAAAATCAGAGTGCCTCTTTCATTCATTTATTGGGATACCTTTTTAAAGGCTATAACGTCTGGGAATGAGTTATCCTATCAAAAACCCAGTAGATCTGAACTAAGGAAACCTTTATAAGGGTGAGGACCCAAAAAAGCAAGAATAATCATAAATACATGGCCCCTCAGAAATTGAAAATTAGTGTAATGAGGGGAAGAGGCAATTTTGAAAACACATAAGAAGTCAGTGGGATGTGGCAGTACAGCAGCTTAGACACTTACCTGAGAAAGAAGCAGGTGGCACTTGGTGGCCTATGACCGAGCAATGGCCATAGCCATTGAAATGTCCAAGTAGATCATTCAGACAAATCCTACTAAAAATGCCATATTTGAAATTTTTCAAACCAAGAGGTAGGCACAAATATTTCCAAGCAGAGACAATAAATGCTTCCCATGACACAAGCTGCTGGTAAGCTTTGAGAAACGACAAAGGCTATAGAATAAATGGAACATGCTGGAACCACATTCATTTTTATTTTCAGTGAAGTAACCAAGATTGATTTTAAAAAAGTCAAGTGGAAACTCAACTTCTTCCAAATGCCCTCTGTACCTGTCACCAGTACACTATCTGTTATTATGTCTCAGGAGCATCTTTCTTTGACATATCAGTTACGTTAAGTCTTTTTAGCATGTTATTTTTTTGGTCTCAGGAAAAACCCATATTTTATTAATCTCCTAACAGCTTCTAGGTATGAAGAAAAGCATAGCGTCAAAGTGAACTCCAGACCCCAGCCAGCTCAAAATGCTAGGCCTTGTTCAGGATGTCCTTTGGCATCCAGGACTCACATTCCTGTGTCTGGGACTTAGGATGGGCTTTGGCTCTTTAAGGACCTGGATCTCACTGCTTTTTTTTTTTTTTTTTGCAAAATGTGCTTCCATTTGTTAAAACATTCTAATTTGTAGGGGCCTAACTGGAAAAATCCTAAACATTTTTTGTCTGGAAACCTCAGAATATATGAATATTTCCAAGCCCAGAACTTGCATCTCTTTTCTCTTATTTTTGAATGGAAATGCTCACTCACAGGAGTTGAGAAGCTCAAGGACTTTTGACTACTTTGAAGACTTTCAGATCCCCTTTAAAATTTAAATTTTACACTTATA